AAAAAAATAAAAAAATAAGAAGTCTTTAAAAGTTAACCTCAGAAAGAAACTCTGGATCCATTACAGTTTTGTCCTCATAAAAAAAATGCCAGCAAGTTGCAACTGTTACAAGGTAAAGTATTTTTTATTACTAAATTTTCTAGTAGTACTAAATAGTAGGGTGCTGGGGGATGTTAGAAATAAACTGACCAATGAAATTGAAATGCAAGTGTGTCAGCAAAATAAGAAAACATATGCCCTTCTTTATGGAACAAAATGTCAAGTACAAAAAAATGTTTTTCGTAAAGCAGATCAATCCTAAAGTGTTAAATTTTAGCTGGCAGAAAGATCACTTCTGAAGAAGAATGAAAAGTTTTAAACATCAGAGATTCTTATTGGAGTTAAGGCTTAGAGATACTAAAGAGAAAGCTAGGAGGTGATGGGAGTGCGATTGGAGGTTGTGCATGAAAGCTACACATCCTAAATTTCTGCCAAACTTTCTCAAGTGGTTTGGATTAACGAGGTATCTTAAAGACTGTTGTAGACGGCATGTTCCTAGCACAGAAAATTCTAGAAAGTAAAACTTAATTTACCAAAAGGATTAACCTAGACATCTTGAAAACTGTTGTAGAAAGCTTGTTCCTAGCACAAAGAATTCTTGAAAGCAATGAAAAAATGTGACCAAACAGAAATAGAATTGTAGTTTGGAAAGCAAAGTAATGAAAAAACTTTCCCAAAAAAAACCTAAGTTTTAAGCTCAATCATCACAATAAATACTTACTAGCACAAATGAGAGACTCACCAGAACGCATACACAAAACTAAACGGAAGAAATTCTTGGTATTTGAACAACATTTTACAAACCAAAGGCAAGATGATAAGTTAAAATTATACATTAAACAAAAAAAAAAAAAGCTTCCTCAGAGGGTGGCGATCAAAGAAAATGATCTACCACCACAAATACAAGACAATGGGATGGTTTGAATAAACATACACCAACATAGTTTCTGTAATCAAAGCTTCTTCACTATCTCTTCAATCGCACGTTCATAATATCTCATCTTCTGAGTTGCACTGATTGCACAATCAAAGTCTCGTTTGTTGAAAGCTTCCCTAAAGGAATTTGACCAATCCTTAAGCTTCCTCTGTATCTGAATAGTTGATAAACTCATAAAGATATGAACAAATATAAGAGTAGAAAGAAAGAGAAAAAAGTTGCACAAATGTAGAAATGATTAAAATGACAAATGCACGAAGGATGCTGGCATACCTGATGTTGTATCTCCATTAACGCCTTAGGATCACTTGCTTCTTCAACAGCTTCTCGAACATCCATCATCTGCATCAATAAGAAGGCTAAACTTAAATGATGGAAGGATTAATGAAGAGGTTGTGCATGGTCACCAAAAGACCATGATCAAAATGGTAGAAAGGAGAAACGGCATTTATTAAACAATGGAATCATGGATGTTTTACTGAAATCAATGCATTTAAGACAAAGGAAAAAAAAAGTCGTCTTTAAAGGTTAACCTCAGAAAGCAGCTCTGGATCCATTACAGTTTTTTCCTCATCAACAAATATGCCAGCAAGTTGCAACTGTTACAAGGTAAAGCATTTTTAATTACTAAATTTTGTAGAAGTTTTTAATATTGGGGTGCTGGGGGATGTTAGAAATAAATTGACAAATGAAATTGTTAATGCAAGTGTATTAGCAAAATGAGAGAACCCTTTTTTATTTTTTTGCAAAATGAGATAGCATGTGCCCTTCTTTGTGGAACAAAATGTCAAGTGCAAAAAAATATTTTGGTAAAGCAGACCAATCCTAATCAGTTAAATTTTAGTAAGCAGGAAGACCATTTCTGAAAGAAGAATGAAAAATTTTAAACATCAGAGCTTCTTATTGGAGTTAAGGCAATAATTTAGAGATCCTAACGAGAAAGCTAGCAGGTGATGGGAGTGTGATTCGAGGTTGTGCATGAAAGCTACTCATTCTAAATTCCCGCCAAACTTTCTCAAGTGGTTTGGATGATTAGTTTTCACTTAATTCCATAAGCATCATCTAGAGTTCTGTGCCATGGCAAGAGTAATACTTTGCTAGTTCTTTGGCAACTCAAACTAGATATCAAGGCACTGTTTTAAGTAAATTGTTACTAAAAAAAATCTTGTACCCTTCTTTCTTCCTCTTGCTATTTGCGCCAAACTATTCCTATATTTGTGGTAGAGTGACCTATAAAATTATTAAAAAAAATTGTATTGGGACCTCACAGAAAAACGCATGAGGATGAGGTTATCATGCGATGCATGTCACATGCTCTGAATTGCAATAAAAAAATTAAAAAAAAAATGAAAAGGAATGCATTTATGGACAAAATAGAAAACATTTGTAAGGAAAGGAGAAGGCAAAACTCAATTTCTAAAAAGCATCACCAAACCGTGTGGCATGTATCGCATGCCATCCTACTGTATTTCTTGTGCTAGAAGGTCCTAGTACACATTTTTCATAAAATGTTTCGAGCATATATGCATTTTCTAATAACAGAAATGTTGAATCATCATGTGAAGACATGCCTAGAGAAGCAGTTAAATTGTTTACATTTTAATCTAAAATTGCTATGCAAATACAAAGGATAAAGCTGTGTAAATCAACCTCTCTGTCAAGACATTTAAGAAAAAAAACACCCTCAGTCAAGCACTAGGTTATACTCTCAAGTCATTTAGGAAAGGAAAATTCTGATAAGTAAATGAGTGAATTCAGTCAATGCTCTATCGAACAGTGAATTAAAAAATTCCCAATGTATAAAAAAAATCCCTTGCAAAGTTGATTAACATTATAAGGAATGAATGATCAAATTATTCTATAATAAACATACGCAAAACATATAAAAAGGGAATAAAGGAATGCTGCATAGAATTAAAGAAAGCACCAAATATAACGCCCTTGATAAAGGTTTGCTTAGTGTGCGGTAAGCATCAATCACGCGAGCCGACTGCTCAACAGCATAAGTTTTCTCTTTCTGAACCAAGGAACAAATAAAAAAGTGTCAGAAATTGGATGACTATATTATAATCAGCAAAAAAAAAAAAAATCGAACATTCCATATCAAAATTGTGAGAATATTCTAATACTTCTGATTTTGAATGAACTAGATCAGGATGCAGCTTCTTCTGCCATTCTTTATATTTCCCTTCTAGATTGTCATCCTTGAGGTCAAATCCTTGTTCCCTATAAAAAAGGAATAGGAATCAAAAGATATTCACTAGCAACTTAAACGAGTGGTTGAAAGAAGGCAACCAGCTTCTATTTAACAAAGCTCGATCATCACATGAAATTTAAGGGGTGGCTGGCCTTCCACAAGTCTACCAAAATAGCAAAGAAGTCATTTTTATCAGCCAAATAAACCTTAAAGCATAACTAAAAACTTTATCACTTCCAAACTTCATCAATCCAGCTCGTACTAATCCCAAATGATTATAAGACAAACTACACGCACTCACCATTTCCGCTAACATTTTATGCACTCGGGTTATTTTGAAACCTTCTTTATGTGTTTCAGTCACGTTTAAATAAAATTTCAGAAAAGCTTCTACCTTTTACACCATAAAAGACTTTGAAAGGAAAACTTAAACGAAGAGAATTAACTTATGCTCTGCATTTAATACTTCTAAAGTTCCTCAACATAATTCCTATTAATCCCATACGATTAGAAAAAGGCCAACCTACATGCATTTATCATTTCCTCTAACATTATGCACTCTTAGGGTCTGTTTGGCAACAAGTAGGATTTAACTTTATAGGATTTAGTAAATCCTGTAAATCCCAATTTAGTCAATCCTGAAAACTATTTCGCAAAATAGGCGATCACAACAACAATAACAACAAGATCAAGCATTTGCACACTACGTGGGATCATTTCTAATATTTTCTAACTAAGTCTTTTTAGGTCTACTTCTACCTTTCTTAACATAGGTGATAAATCCTATCAAGTCATGTGAAACCGTTTGACAATTTTATCCGAGATTTAAGATGGTAATTTGAAATATGAGTAATGGCTAATATTTTAAGTTCCTCCATTGCTATACTTTTTTAACCAACAACCTCTATAACTTATTGATCAAAATAAAAGGATTTATATAGGCTAAGAACAAAAAATGAATTCAATATGTTTACTCACATTCCTTCATAAAATCAGCATGGAGATCATAAGTAATAGCTAAAATTTGAGGACCAATTGGTAAAGAACGAAGAGAGAATAACAAGTAAGAAATAAACTCAATAAGAACAAAATATTCAAATCTTGCAGTGTGACCATTTGATGTCATATAACAAAATTCGAATTAATATGTATTATTTCAATAAAACAAACAACTTGAGACATGTCCAAAAAAACAATTCAAGCTACATAAAATTTCACTCAAACTCATGATAACACATGGATCTAAATTTAATGTTATTACACTCTTCGAGGGATAAAAACATGTAGTCAACATGTTGAATTTATTATTTTTAGCCTATATGAATTCTTTTGTTTTGATCAATATGGTATAAGGATTGTTGGTTAAAAATGTATAGCTAATAAGAAACTTAAAATATTAGCCACAACTCATATTTTAAATCACAGCCTTAAATCCTATCTCCTGGATCATATTGCCAAATAGTTTCACAGGATTAACAGATTTTATCACCTATCTTACCCAATAGTTTTCAGATTTAACAACTCCAAAATTTACTAAATACGGATTAACTGGATTTACTAAATCATATAGAGTTAAATCCTACTTGTTGCCAAACAGACCCTTATAATTAAGTTTCTTTCAGGGTTGCAGGACACATCAAAGCTACCACCTTTTAAACACTGAATGAAAGAAAAAACAGAACTTCAAATAAAAAGATTCGGCACAATCACAAAACATCAAAGACAGATTTGGCAATTAACAGCGCATAAAACCTAACAAAAGCAATCCCGCAGTGCTTATGAAAAGACTTACAGCCCAAAGATCTGGAAATAGTCGACAGACAAATCAACCGGCTGTACCGCTCCGCAGGATCCGCAAGAGAGGAACGGCCCCACCGCCGGCGACTGCTCACTACAGTTCCAGCAAGCGCAGGCCACTCCATTACCCGACCAAGTCGAGTAGGGAGACCATAACCTAACTGTACATCGCGAGAAAGGGAAGAGACGGTGGAAACACTGCGAATCGTCGATCAATAGGGAGCGCAGCAAGGAAACCCTACATGGCGGCGGGGTGGGGCGGAGCTCGTGAAGAATGCGAGGGAGAGGTCGGAGTTGTCTGCGGAGGATTTCAATCGCTCTGGTATAGAGCTTCCTTCTGCTCGACATTGAGGGGGCAGTTTGGATGCAGGATTTAGGCGGATTTCAGCTAAATCCAGCCAAACGGCGGCCAAAAATGCAAAACCGAATCTAAATCCTGCTACCAAATAGCCCCTTAAATTCGATGGATTTACGGGATTTGGCGGAAGATGCTCGTGAAAAGGAGAAAGTTACCTTCACAGCGAGCGAGCTCTTGTCGATGCTTTCGATCAAATGTCGTAATTTCCAATCCAACAGGTAGGGAACATCAACGAAGGAGCGATGAAGGAGTCGAAAAAGAACAACAACGAAGAAATACTGCAGAATATGGCGTAGGTAATGGAAATTGGAAAGAAATGAGTGAATCATAGATGGTAATTAGTCATGAATTAATCTAAGTAATTGAATTAATATAAATTAAATTATAACTAATTAATTACTTATAGATAATTAATAATATAAATAATAATTAAATAACTAATATTTTAAATAATAATTAGATAACTATTCTAAGTAGTAATAATATTTATATAATTAGGTAAGTTATTAATATTTATAAAAGTAATCAAATAATTAAACTAATTAATATATGTAAGATATATTATTAGTTAAGTTAGATAATACTAGCTAATTAATATTTTAAATAATAACTATATTATTAGTTAAGTTATTTGATAATTAAATTAGCTTCAATTATATTATCAATATTAGATGTATTTTATTTGAACTTCTGTTGTTGTATTTTAATTATTCTAGAAATAAATGTCAAATTTCTTAAATGCCTTGTATCTTGAATTGAATTGTCAAACATTCACATAGGATTTATTACCATTTATATTATTTGTTACCAAACAAATTTCAGAATTTATCACCCCTAGGATTTCTAAATCTAAATTTATAGGATCTATGAAATCCTACTTAAATTAAATTCCAGGTGCATCCAAACATCCCTGATGTTATATGTTGAGAGAGAGAGAGAGAGAGAGATATGTATGGAAGGCAAAGGGGAAGGTGGCAAACATGGTGCAATGTGTTTCGATTGCGAAGGAGAAGTCGAAGGAGTGATTAGCGACTGTGAGGAAGGCGCGATGGATGTAAGAGGGGAGTCGAAGGGCTACGCTTAGGAGTCCAAAAGGGAGCCCTCTGTCTCGACTTCAATTAAATAAAGACAACGTAGCTTTAATGAAATTGAATGATCCAATTTGATTCATTTCTTGTTTGTCGAATTTTAAACAAATTACTGAAATTAGTCTTATTGAATTAATAATAAGATTTATTTTTTATATATTCATTAGCTTAACAAACGAGCCTTATCAATGCTACTATAACCTGTTTGCAAATATATCTAGCGAGCTCTTCTTAGCTACCAAAAGAATTCATTCATGAACATATTTAAGAAGTATTTTCGTGCTAAGCCCGTTCACAAACAAATGAGCTCAAAAATAATTTTTCTTATATATAAATTTGTTTATGAATTCTTCAAATAAATAATCCAACAAACATGAATAAATGCCTTTTATTCATAAACAATTTCTATAACATAAAAATTATATTAATTTTTAATAAAAATAAGAATTTATAATAAAATTAAAATTATATGAAAATATATGAAAAAAGGATTTATAACAAGATATAATTAATTTTTAACAAGTTTACTCAAAAGCTCTGTATTAAATATTAATCGAGCTTTTAACGAGCTTGATATTGAGTGTTTACAAACTTTAATTGATATATATATATATAATTTATGGTAACAAAATTTTGATTAAATATTAGTTTATATGGCCATAAAATTCTAAATTTGAGAAATAAATTTATTGTTTCATTTATGACCAAAATTTCCTTTGGACTAAAATATTCCACATAAAAAGAGTGGATTAATTTTCAAATTTAACCAGAATAAAGTTAGAATAAAATTTGATCAATGTTAAAAATAATATTTGATTAAAAAAATTACTCATCATCGAACTTTCTTCGAACCCTAATGGAATATTAATCATTTTTATATGAAAGAATTTTCAATTAAAATTCAAACAATGTTTAAATAAGACATTATTAGTAAAATATATAAAATAATTGAATTGCAAGTTTGAATAAGGTTCATTCAAAGTTGAAATAAGATTTACACAGAATACATCAACAATACCTATAACACAATCAGACTAATACAATAGAAGAATCTACAACTTCATCATAACGTTAACACAAAGAGTGGTAAAAAGGTCAACACAGCTCAAACTAAATTCATAGCAGCAACAAAATATGGAATGTGAAGGGATGATACATTTTCATGTACATAAGAATATCTCAGGCTGGCACACAGATCAAATGCTCCACTCAAAAGCATCTCACTTCTTCAATACACTGCACCGAGGAACAACATCATTAGGAAGAAGCCAGAAAACATAAATCCAAGACAACAGCATGACATAGGAAAAATTACTCTATGCGGAAGCAGAACCCGTTCAGATATCTAAGCTCACGGCTCAATATCACTCATATGGCTCATTCTGATTGTTATCCGCATAGACTAATCTCTCATGACATAGACAAACTTCAGCAAGAAAATAATTTGGCACCATTGGTAGATTTAGGATCCAATTGGGACCGCTTCATTGTAACTATGAGTTGTACAATAGTTAATAAAAAAAAAAAAAATTAAAAACTATTATTGTATAATTGTTAGCATCTTATAATTATCACATTTTAATAAATTTAATTATAAATAAGTACTTCATATCATAAGAATTTTTGATAAATAGAAAGGCTTGAAAAGCAAAGCAGTGAGAAGATTGTGCGAAATGAACCCTGGGCTACTACTAAAATTACAAAATGCTTAGTTTGGCTGCACATACTTCAGAAATCGAAATTTCACTGTACTCTCAATATCTGAAAAGCAAAACCAAACAGCAGACATGACAAAGCTAGACAACATTCCAAGCTTCGACTTAGTTTTGCAAATTCACGTATTAATATATTATACTTCAAAAGTATAGTAAATTCTTCTTCTGAAAAATATTTCTTTCAAAGCCTCATGATAGAAGCTGTCAATTATAATTTTAAGCATAAAATTATATTCAAGCTAAGCTATCTAGCATGAGTACATATTTGATTAGATACGTTCAGCACAAAGTTGTTATTAGGTAATATTGTATAAATTTGAATTATGGATAGTAAAAAAAAACAACTGATAGCTAAGTTAATTGGACTAAAATAAAAGATGGTTTATGCAAAAACTAAAAAAAGATAAATGGAGATATTATAATATTCAATGAATGGTCAAAATAACATTTATTTAAGATATAGAAAATAAACTTAGTAGTTTAAACATGTACATGATAAAAAAGAATTAGGCATGCAGATAGAATTAGAGCTGAATGACTAAGTAAGATGGGTGGACTGACAAGAAAAAAGATAAAAGTTGTGCAAAAATATTTGTGAAATATGTTTAGCACCACATGCTACAATCAACAAACACTAATGGAGAATGACGAGTCACAAATATATATATAAAAATTTATAGAGAAACATCAAATTGAGCATGAAATAGAATGTTATTTGGCATAAAAACAATGCTATCAAGAGGTAAATGAGCTAAACATCAAGGTAATTATGAATCCCTACATATTAAGCAATCAAAATAGCAGGTGAACTTCAAAAATCAAACTAAAGTGCAACTCATTCTGGGGAATTCAGAGTAAAGAGGGCTCACTTGTAAAGATAAGCAGCAATTCCGAGTATAATGCAAAGCAGGATAATATCTATGCAAAAGTTGCGACTTGACCTCAGCTGCAAGAAAACATAAAAACCTTAGCAGAGTAAAAGTGGAAGTTCAATTGTATATGGAGAGTCCGGGAAACACAAAAGCCTCACCTGATTTATGGTATCTTTAAGCCTCACGTTGGTATTTTTTAAGTCAGCATTGGCTCTGTCAACCTGGAGACATAGTAAACAAAACCATAAACATTTAATACATTTACCTAGATTCCAGTCAAGCAGTCAGACAAAGAGGAAAAGAAGGAAGTTTCACCTTAGTATCAATCTCATCAATCAAAGGCACTTGCCTGTCCAATTCCTGATAATGAAAACAAATTAAGAAAAAAGCTTTCCTGGTTTATTGGAAAAAGCAATAGCAAGTAGGAAATCGACAGCAAACCTCATTCATATCATGGGCCATGTTTTTCAGCGTATCCAGTCCTTCAGCTATAGTGTCTAAGCCTTGATCCTGCAAATATGGAAAAAAAAAAATTTCATAAAAGCAATTTTCAAAGTGAAGGAAGTCATGCTGCAAGCATGTAATAATTATAACCTATAGAACTAACCTCCATTACATCATATTTAGTCATTCAAAATGGTTTAAAGTACTAAAGATTGAATGACACACTATACTACAAAATAAATAACGTCTCCAAGAAGGCTAATACACACCTGAAAAAGGATTTTTCAACCTCAACATGCATACAATTTTTTGCATGATCAACATGCATATTTCAATATGCTCCCTTATGGTTAATTAATAGAATTTAAAAGCATCTTGATCTTAAGATTGTATAATTTACTAAAATACTAGTATTACCTTTAAATTCATAGAACTTCAAGAATAAATGTTTCATTCTGAATGACTTTTCAATGACAATAAGGCTCTACCGGTTTAAGTGAATTAAGGGATTCTATTCTACTTAATAATTTTCATTTTAAGTGTTTGGTTTGTAAATAAAAGGGGTAAAATTAGATTTAATCTATTTTCTTAAGTTTTCATTTAAACCAAACAAGAAAGGTAAATTGGTTTTCCAAAGATTTTCAACTCTAGTCAACCAATCAAGAAGAATTTCAACTCAATTCATTTACCATTACTATTTCCTTTTTCTCTCATTACACTTAAATAAATCAGAGCCTAAGAACAAAATAAGGAGGCAATTTGAAACTAACGACTTCTGAAAAAATAACAACAAAATTGTGTGAACGGATGCATTAATTATAGTAGCATGGTTTCTCCATCTAAGAAGGATATGATAAATATTGTAAGCATAAATACAGTTTTTCAATGTAAAATATCAATTGGGAAGGAAACCAGAACCACGATATTTATACTAAGTTACTAATAATTCTTTTATTTAATTGATGATGCATGATTTCTTTTATCCATTGAGAGAACTATAAAGATCTTTGGTATGGTACAACCATAAAAGTGCACTAAAAAGTAAGAAAGCATGAAAGACATGGGCAGGAAAACTTACCTGTTTCATTTTGCGCATCTCAAACTCCTGCCTAAATTTGTTTGATTCTTCTGTCTGCTGAAAGTAATTAGCATCGAAACTTCCATCTAAAAAGAAGATGAAGAAAAAAATGTTAATCTTATAAGAAAACATGCGGCATGCACAAAACTCTCACTGAAACTAGAAAGCTAAAAAGTTTTGTGCAGTGAAGAACAAACAAGGGATGATTCAAGAAATAGCACTCATTTGTCCTGCTATTGAGAATCTTAAAATAATCTTTTACAGGTGCTTCTTACGAAGTGCATCAAATATGCATTTAGTTATACTGCGACACCTTAAGAAATTTATTGTTGTAAATAAATCAGCAATCACATGATGCAAGAAAAGAATTTTAGGCACAAAAGAACCACCTAAGTAGCCAAAACACCATTGGCTTTAATACACAATTCCAAAACAACATTCCTATCTTACTGCAATTACAGGCATGACATGACATTGTCAATACCTGAGGACTTAATATATTTGTCAATTATGCACTTAAGAAAATGCCACATTGTTTTTCACATTATCGTTTTGAAGCACACTGACAACACAGTACGTTGTCATTGGTAAAGTGTCAACAAAGACATAAACCTTTAGCTTGATATGATCTACGAAAATGAATAGTAAATAATGCAATTCAGTGGTTGATGAGCTTTAGTTAGAGACATGCAAAAATATACCCATGGAATCAAAGAATCAAACTTAAATGACCAATTTAAGTAAGTTCTCTTAAGTCATGATTCAAATCAAATTCCAAAAATAATCAAAACAAATAAATAGGATTGGTTCTTGATTATGCTAGTCAATTAACTGGGAATTGACTTGAAGCTAAACCTAAAAGTTCGTGAAACTCATGTTTAAAATATTTTAAAATTTTCAATGGAAGAGTCAAATTCCCAAATGCATACTTGATAATTTTAATATAAATATACGAGTTTTATATGGTTTGAAGAGACGTCTTTTCTTGTTGGCTGCATGCTGAAAAACATAAGCACCTATAATTTTATTTTGTAAGTTAATTTTATATATTTAGCTCAAATTGCTACATTCTTGTTGAGATTGAATTGTGGAAATTTGAGAATGTAATCAAAGGTTGAAGCATTCTTGTTTTCGATAATACTCAAATCATAGAATAATGTTAAGACTAAATGTGTTCATTGGACACCAGAACTGAATAAGTATAGTAGAACTGAAAAACGTGGTTTGATTCAGTACAGTTCTCAGGCAATTCAGGTGGGTTGTTACTCCCAAAATGATGGAACCAAATAAACTCCATTTAGGTACCACTTTCAAATGAAACCAATCCAACCCAATCCAAATTGAACCCCTAGTTTTAGGCTACAACTTGAAAATATTAATTGGGTAGCACAAATTCACATGCAATAGCACATATGCCTTGTATTGTCTATTAAATTTTGATTGTAAAACAAACCAAATTGATTGCAACATCGATCATCTGAAGTTAACAACCTAAAGATAAAATATCAAATAGCTACAACAAATGTTTCAAAACAAATTTACAAGTAAATACAACACCCAATGATTAATTATTGTTTTAGCAATATCTACTCATGTACGCACAAAGGATCTTTAAGAAATCAAATAAAAATGTACTTAATTTTTTATTTTGTTCCAACTATATATCCACCTAAAATCTCATAAAATATCTACCCATCTGAAACTACTTGGACATTTCTATTGTTTTCATGTTAAATAAGAATAGGAGGTTGAAAAGAATGCTGATTGAAAAGAAAAAAAAATGGCATCAGAAACTGCAAATCTGACATGCCACAAATTTGCTTATGGCAGACCGTATCCTACAGAATTACTAAAGAACACTAGAACCTATTTTACACTCATTTTACCAAACTTTTAATGTAGCCATTGTTGAGAGATGAAGGTAATTTAGCGGCATTTTCTAAGCTGGAGAAAAGAAAGAGAGAAATATATATATATAAACCTAAGAATGAAAATTTCCATCATGGCACACAACTCCCTTTATCTATTAGTTGGGAGCTTAGGCTAACAACTAAGAAGTCTTGGTTTCGAGTCTTGTATATGCAATGTGTGTGTGAGTCTGCCTTAATTGGCCTAAATGTCCCCAAAAAAAGTGTCATCATGACATTTCTCTTTATATGCCTATTGATGAGGACATCAACAGGATATTCTAGCACGAGGAGACATCGAAGATCTACGGCTACGCTCACACTTTTATTTCTGATTGATGTATTATAATTTTATTATTTTAATATTCTTTTTCATTTTTACCCTCACTTGAGGGACTAGATGCATGTAACCCCAAGAGGTAATTTGGTCTTTTGTTTTGTTCTTGTATGGAGCCTTTTTATAGCCCTCTTTTCCCTCTTATGAGGTTAATGAATGAATGATTATTAATGAAAATTCAGCTTTCTGGTTCTTGATCTCTTTGTGAGTTCTTGAGATGAGAAACCCTAGAGAGGGTCACGCATCACCCGTCTGCCGTCGGTGAATTCCGGGACTCGCAGTTAGTATTCGTAGTATTTTCTTATCGTTTCTTCCTTTCCCCTACATTCGGCCACCTCGCCTTCCCCAAACACCCGCCAACCACTTCAAGTCATCAAGCCGCCGATCAACCTCAACAAGATCCCCTCCCTTATTCACAGCCGCCGGCCTTCCTACTCTCCATCTTCAAATTGCCACATCCAAAGCCCTAACCCTAGTTAGCCGCCGGCCTTACCCTCCCATGGATCCAAATCAACTGTTAGTTTCTTTCCAAAGTAGAGCATGAAGATTAGGAAGGAAATCCAATTCAAAATCTGATTACAAATTCATATTTTGAAATCTTTCCTAAATCAACATAATCTATATTATGAAAGTATTCAATTCTTGGATATAACTTTAAATTAAAATTAAGAGAAATATTTTACTCATTAATTCCTCCTAATTTTAGATGAGATCACTTAAGGAAACCCATCCAATCAATCCCTACTCCAAGCATGCCGCCGGCCACCCCTTTTCCCCATGAGCTCCACAAATTCCTCCATCCATTCAAACCCCTTTCTGATGTAGGAACATCTTAGCTTTTATAATGCTTAGGGACTAGTTTACCTTCCTTAGTCTAGATAGTTCTATTTTCCTCTTTAAATAGTTGGTTAATGTAAAAGATGAAGCTCATTGAATGAAATATTAGCCTTTGAAGCCTTTGTGCTCTTCTTCTTCTTCTTCCCTGGATTGGGAAAACCCAAATCCTTCTTGCAGGTCGAATCTTCCGACGATTCACTACATCAGTTGGTATCAGAGTTTGGAGCTTGTGAAGATCGATGGACTGCGGAAGAAGGTCGGCTGTCGACGACGATCGAAGCCGCAAAACAAGATTGACGGTCGACGACGATCGACGTCAAGAAAGGTGGGTTGTCGACGATGCTCAAAGCCGGATCGCCTTCTATCAAGCTCAATCGAAGGAATCGCTCGATCGGGTAGACAGAAACCTTGATCGGATTCGCGAAAACCTTCGGGCAATCAGGAAGATGAGAATGTCGTCGGCAACCATACCGAGGTATTCCTCTTCTTCTTCACTCTCCTCTTCCTCTCCTCGCAAACGACGTCAGTCCCGCCATTCTCCCACCGTCCTTGACGAATATCCTCCGCTCGAGCTCCCTCTCCGATGGCGTGATCTGCCACCGAAGTATCCACAGCTCGAGCGTTCGATGCGATGGCGAGATCCTCCGCCTGATCGCAAAGTTCGCAAACATCCCTTGCCCAATGACTCGCTTCCGCATCCGCCTCCACAGACTACTTCCGCATCCTCTGTTTCTCCTCCGATCTCCTCTACTCCATCCGCATCGGCCTCCGCTAATCAACGACTCACTTCCGCATTCGAGCGCGATTCCGCGCCTGTCGACGAGTGCGCGAACCCGCGCCTGGAGACGAGCGCGATCCCGCGCCTCGCGACGAGCGCGATTCAATACCTGGCGACGAGCGCAATTCAACGCCTGGCGACGAGCGCGTTTCCGCACCTGGCGTTCACCAAGCCTCTCCAATTCTTCTATCTTTCGCTGCTTTGATCAACTCCGAAGGGATGGCGAAGACAGTGACGCCCAGAGCAATCGCGATGCTCCTTTCCATTGGTGATCTGCAACTTGATCTGGAGAAGCAACAGTCAATAGCTGCAAAAGCTGAGCCTAAGATAGAGAAAGATGTAGAATCTTTGTCCTTGAGAAAGCAAATTCCAGGATGGTCTGATGGTCTTCCTCCTTTTGGGTTTATGGCCCATGTTCCTCCACCACCTTTTGGTCTTGAGGATGCAAGCACTAGTTCTTCCAAAGCAGTTCAGAGGTTATTTTCCTCACAACTCCGGCCAAAAGCGTTGTGCAACTCACTGCTATATTGCACAGAACATGAATCACCATCAGCGGATGACAAGATTTCATCCATATTGGCCTGCAGCAGTTGTCATCCGATGCAGAAGGGAAGCCTTCCAGCCAATCCATCCACCGATTCTTCACAGAAGAAGACCACTGGTGGTAAGAACAAATACGTGAAGCTGGTGAATACAAATGTTGATATTGAGGACGTTTCCACTGCAGATGTGAAAATACCTGGTTTAAATTCGACTTACAAAGCTGATCCAACGCAATGCGCACAAGCTGCTCGACGTAATGTCACTGATAGGTTTGATCCCAAATTTGTTGGACCAGATGTGGAGGCTGTTTGTTTTGTACAGAAAAAGCTAATCGTTTGGCCCCCTGTAATTATTGACAACAAATGCCATTCCGTCAGTGCCCTAGAAGTTTCAGAGGTCATTGTTCTCATGCTCGACTCTGGCAGGGGAGTGCATTCCTTTGAACAATTGGATCTAAGCACAGAGTTGATTGTATCAGAGAAGATTTCATTGGTCCAATATACATTAAGTCTATCTGTCATCTCAAAATTGAGTAAAGAGATGTGACATATTCATAGAAACAATTTCTTAGATAAAGATTACACCAATATAGTATATGTTCCTCCTGGTCAAACAAAACCTAATGCAGGTAATCAGGGTTTTTATGCTAATCGTGTCTTTGAATGGCTAAGAGCATTGGATCTG